GCAATATAGCATCACCCAGCTGGTGGAAGTGATGGTAAGTAACCACATGGCATCGTTAGTGTAACACATAATGGATGTGGAGAAGAGCAACTTGGAAGGGCTAGAGCAGCCAAACAAGCCTCCACTGATGTGACTCCACATTGTTAATCCAAGGGTAGGAGAGCTGGTTAGTAGCTGCTAAGCTACATTCCCTAGACCCTGCTCTTGTCACCTTGCTGGTGCTTGTTCAACTTTTTGGTCCTTTCGGGCAGTCTGTATAGGGTCTGTGACAGTCTGTGGTGAAGAGAAAGGTTTTGAACCAGCTCTTTGAATCCATCAAAGGATTTTCTAGCACAGAAGCTGACCCTGACTACATGTGAGGTGAATCACATCTCCCTGCTTCAGACACCAACAGCTTTTGCTTAGACTCATTTTGGTTTTAGTTTAGTTTCTCACCAACTCCTACATTACATCTGCTTTGGATACCTGTTAAGGCGATGGCTCAAGAAAACACATAAGCATGGGCTTACCTTTAAGCTTTTGTTAGAAGGAAGACTTAATGGATCAGTATCTGAACCCAGAAGACTATTGTTTAAATTCCTACCTACCCTTTGCTACTTACTGCCATGGTGTAACCTGGTTACCAGGTTTGCATCCATATGAAGTGTGATTTTCTGGTACTTCTGAAGACCATGGGACTTTTGCCAGTGACTTCAGTGGATCCCAGTTATTGCCTCACATCTGTATTTTGAGCACGTGTCTGTCTGTCGTTGGGTGTCATTTTCCCTGGTGATGGTATGGGAGAGGAAGAGTGACAGAGTCAGAAATCAGGGAACTGTCTCTTGCACAGACAGTCCTGTGGCAAAGCATGGTATTAGTCTCGTCACAAGAAGAACGGGAGAGGGGAAGACAGGTTATTAAATCACACAAAAATCAAGTCAATAATAACTTTCTCTGAAATGGATGTGCACATATGTAAACATTGTACTAGAAAGGCTGTTCTCCAGTAGCTGGAATTCCTAGCAGGGATACAGGAAATATTATACCTGCATTGTCACTCTGTCTGGTGGTGGCAGTGGAGGGTGACAGAGAGTACAGAGTAAGTAGACTTCCAGGTATAAACATAAATACTTGATTTTTGCCATTTTATAAAATAGTACCTCATTGTATACGTCTCATTAACACAGTGAGCCGCTGCTTATTTGGGAGTAAAGGAGGTATGATTTGGCTTAAAATTATATTATTTTAAGTACACCTATTCATTTCATGAGATTCACTAGTCATATGACAGAAGGCTAGCTCCTAAATCAGTAGGACCCATGCCTCATGGCTGTGTAGGCTTCTGCTTACTGAAATCAAGTGTCTGCACAGCTCTGAGAAAGTGCCATGAGTGCCAGTGGTCTTCCCTGCATGTCTCCTCGAGCCGAGTGGAAGTACCCCTGTAGGAAGCGGCTGTGCGACATGAGTAAGAGCAGAGAAGGTGGACTTGCAACTCAGTGTGGGCTTGCCTTTCCAGATAGGCTGCTTATCTCTTTAAGAGACATACGTGTTTTCGGTGAAATTATGACTCAGAATTGGTGTCTTTGAGTGTATGGCCATAATGTTTTTACAAAAGTTTTTTGAAATCTTGCCTCAGACTAGTTACCCTTTGCATCTCCTTCACTGGACATTCTCCTTAAGTACTGTTTCCCAGGGCTTGAATTTCTCTTCTTTTGGGAAGTTCTGTCTTTATTGAAGTAGTGAGTGCAAAGTTAAAGGATATTTTAATGTGTGTTTCTAGTGTAGCTTTTATAAATATTTTCTATTGCACATTTTTTCCAAAATATTTTTCTGTCTTTCACTCCTGGTACCAACATATTAATGTCATCTTTACTGTAGTACAAGGTTGATCCTTTCCCATTTCATATGGAATTTCCTGGGCAAATTGATCTTGACGCCCAGCTCTGTGGGTTGTTCCTTAAAGATATTATATTCTGAGATTTAATTATCTTTCTTTTTGAGAAATAAACTTCAAGTCTTTTGTGATTTTTTTTTTTAATGTAATGAGGTAGAAGTCATAATGAGCTTTGGACCTGCTTTATCCTGAGATCACTGGCCACATCCAGCTTTGGCCTGTAGTATTACCACGTGAGAGCTCTTTCGTTATCCCTGAGATGGAGAAATGGGCTGAGTGGCTCTTCTTGGGCTGATCTCACCAGCCTCGCCCAACTGTCGAACCACGGTTGGCACGCGGTGTGTGGCAGGTTAACCCTGGTAGGTAGCTAAGCACCACAGAGCCGCTCACTGACTCCCCCACCGCCCGCGCCTAGTGGGACAGAGGAGAAGAAAGGAAGAGTAAAAGCAAGAAAACTCATGGGTCGAGAAGAATGAAAACAATTTCATAAGCAGAGAAATACAAAGAAAAGAAAAAAGACAACAAAAGAAGTGATACAATGGCAGTCGCTCACCACCTCCCATGGGCAGACCGGTGGACAGCCAGTTCCCAGGCAAAACATAGCTAACCTTACCTAAACCTCACTCCTCTCCATTTTACTGCTGAGCAGGGAGTTCTATGGCATGGCATTCCTCTTTGGTTAGTTCAGGTCACCTGCCTGGTCGTGTCCCCTCCCAGGCTCTTGCGCACCCCCACTCTACTCGCTGGGGGTGGGTGAGAAACAGAGAGGACCTTGACCCTGTGCACACACTGTTCAGCAATAGCCAAAATACTGGTGTGCTGTCAATCAGCGTTGTTTTGGCCACAGATATAAAACAGAGCACCATACCACCTTCTACAAAGAGTAACTCCATCCCAGCCAGACCCAGTACACGGTGATACCGTCAGCAACCCCAGCACAGAGGCAAGCACACCGAAAGACCCCGAGAGCCAAACTCCAACAGGTGACTGCACCAAGCAGCGTGTGGGGCTTCGGCAGTGGAGCTGGGGAGCCGCGATGTGCGGCCTTGCTGCATGATGTCACTTCACATAGACAGCCGCTTAAAATAGAAACCTGCCTTTCTCTTGTAGGAGTGGAAAATGAAAATGCGGAAATTCAAAGATTTAAAAACTAGCCATTATGGAATGCAGTTGGAAACCATTTGCCTTTAGGCTAATTTCATCTCTGAGCAAAAAAACAGAACTGCTGTGGTGGCCACATGTACTTATCTAAATGTTATGGTCCAAACCATATAATATAGCTGTTCATATTTAGCTAAAAAATGAGAAAAGCCATCTGCATCATTCCCAGTGAACCAAACTCCAGAGAATATTGGCTTCCCTACCGACGCCTAGGTGCTCAGCTGGTTTTCGCTTCAGTGCAAACAGCATTGTGCATCCTGCATATGAGGAGCTCTTCAGCTTTGCAGGTGGGTTGTGTCTATAAAAGCTGTATTTCTGGACACACTGATAGCTCATGAATAATTTTGTATTTGAAGGTCTGTTGCTTGGCTAATGAATATTCTTCTTAGATGTTCTTAGGTAGCTGCACTGGCATGCATATGAGATTTCTGCTTCTATTTCACTTGCTTCTGCTTATTTCCCCCTTGAAATCAAGACAAATTAATTCTTGATTTGGCCTCGTCCTTTTTTGTAGGAGTGCACTACACATGACTTTGGCTTCAAACCTGTGTAAGTAGGTGCCTGAAGAGATGATATTCTAGATGGTTTCAGGTAATGATAAAATTGTACAGTTTAGTGTGCAATAGGATTCTTTATATTACTCATTTAAACCACAAAAATGGAAGTGCTGCTATTCACTTGAATACTTATGCAAGATTTAAAAGGGAAAAGGGGGAAAAGAGGAAAGAGATGAAGTATGAGACAGAGGAGCTGAGTGTTACAACAGGAATGTTCAAAAAAAGAACAACATAGCTACAATGTCATCGGGTATTTCATAGGGAGATTTTCAAAGAATATCATGAGAAAAGTAAATGAGAAATATATTTGGGCACAAATTGAAATACAGGACATTCTAGCTGGAGATGGAAAAAAAATAAGTTGTACATCAAAGGTGATTGAATGCTGGAGGATGTTGCCCAGAGGTGTCGTCGAGTCTCCACCCCTGAGGATGGTCAAAACCCGACTGGAGATGGCCCTGAGCAGCCTGCTGTAGCGGGACCTGCGTTCGGCAAGGTATTGCACTAGATGATCTCCAGAGGTGTAAAATTGAAAGCCAGGCTTAAATGACATTGAATTAAAGTCTTTCCTTTAAATAGGAAAGAAAAAGATATGGTGAAAGCTTCCCTCACTTTGGAAAACAATCTCTTCTGTTCTCATACGGTGTAATATAAACTATACTGTCATGTTGGTAAAGTATTTGATGTTACCCTTGATGGTAACTTTAATATCTAAACTGTGATAGCTCCATAACACGTAGGAGGCTTTGAAAGGCACATATTATTTAAGAATGTAATGCAATCCAACTAAATGCTCCATTTATTCCCCTTATCAGGCAATGAATTTTCTTCACAGCCTATGTTACCGTGGGTTTTCTGTCTGCAAAAATACACCTTCTGCCCTGTATTCCTGCAACAAAACCCAAACTGGGGAGACAGCATTGAACTGAATGTCACAGACTATTTTTCTGGCTATCCAAGAATTCAA